TTCTTAGCACTGAGCCCATAGTAGCAGCCAAAAAAAAGAGTCTTAAAAGTAAGTTTTAACAGTTTTATTTTTGTAATTTTTTTCTACATTTAATGTATTTTTTGTACATTACTGAAGTGCCTCGTTTTTGTTCTCCTAATTTGGATTTACATTATTTTACTCAATGCACATTTTAGCAGAGAAGCCTGAAAGATTTTCTTGACTGTTGTTATGTCGTACGATAATGTCTCGGCTACGTACGTAACATTAATAATTAATCATAACTAGTTATGGTTAATTATTCATATTTCCTGTTGTGAGCTAAATTCGCTACACCTCGTTCCCTGAAGGAGGGAACGGAGATGTCACGTCGGTAATGACCGGCTTTGGGATCTCGCTTAGACCAATCGACTTCGAGTGTAAACTAAACGAGCTAATGCACATTGGCATACGATGATTGCATCCAGCTGCCGCTGGTCGCAGCGCAAGTATAACTAGGCAGCAGGTGCAACGCAAACTCAGGTTTTCACTGAGGAGCCGAGCCGCTCAGCGGTGGTACAGCAGCTGTGGCGACGGGACGTGACGTCTCCATTCCCTCCTTCAGGGAACAAGGGTTCCATATGTAACCAAGACGTTTTCTTTCAGTTGGTCACTCTCAACATCACGTTGGTAATGACCGACTTTGGGATCCCTACCAAAGCGCCACAGATGCTGCCACTTCCAACATCCTGTGCCCCCTTTTCGGCGTAGGCCAGGGCTCGCAACAAGAAGACCAGTCACTGTTTGTCGTAGCACTCCCCACTCAGTGAGATTGGATAACACTGGGAAAATTTACCCGTTCCACTTGGAACAGGAACATTGCGGAAGCACCATCTTTCCCGAAGGAGGTTGCGGAAGCACTTACACATATGAACAACCGTTTAGGTGCATATGGAAGATTAGAGATGATTATAACCCTCTTGGAAATGGCAGAAGTCTGCCGGGGAAACACGGGGCTCTGAGGCTATACTGTGGACTTTACACATATGGTATCCACTCAGGTCTCTACATATGGAACCCAGGCCTCTACCGGTTCTCACGGATTCATCGAATGAGGGCCTGGCACCGGACGTTCCGTCATGTCTGGGTGCCGAGGGGATGGAGGAGCTCGACAGGCTCTACCGTATGGACTCTCTGGAGCGATTTAGCAAGCCGACACTAAACCGGGGCCTCTCAGTGCTCTGTGGGCGGACCGAAGAGGTTAGTGCGGCCAGTGCAACGCTTACCTGGTTCGACGGTTTGACAGAGGCTGCGTGAGTAGGGCCTTTGATGACATTCTTGAACCGCCTGCTGCTGCGTTATGGCGAGAGAGGAGGATGAGTGTGGTCCGGTGTTGTTCCGTCCACGGCTCTCCATGCCCTCTTGGGACCCAGAGACAGAGAGAAAACTGCTCTCTTGTCGAGATTTTTGGAAACAAGATTCTCCACCCGACCCTCCTCCAGGTGAGGGAGAGGTGCATTCACCATCCCCCAAAGAGCAGTTCCCTCTCTCTCTGGGTCACCCGTCCCAGGGCATCTTGCTCTTCCGCTCACTGCCAGGGTTGACGGGGGCCTGGAAGAGCGGGGCACCCTGCCTACGCCCAACTCCATGGCGCCGCTTGCTCGAGGCTGCTGCGGATGCAGCGCGGGAGCGGGGGTTGACGCAGGGGGCCACCCTTGGCGACGAGCAGGCTGGGGCACTGCGGCCGGCAGACAGATGGAGGCAGCAGCTGCCCGGCAGGGCAGGACATGTCGGATCACCTCAGTCTGCTCCTGTGCAGCCAAGAACTGCTGGGCCATGTTCTCGACTGCGTTGCCAAAGAGGCCGATCTGGGACACAGGGACCTTGAGGAACCGAACTTCGGCGTCCTTCATGTCGACCAGACACAGCCAGAGGTGACGTTCCTGGACCACAAGTGTGGACATCGCATGACCCAGAGAACCCGCAGTGAGTTTCGTCGCTCAGAGCGCGAGGTCAGTTGCGGTTCGGAGCTCTTTCAGAACTTCCGGATCGTGACCACCCTCGTGCAGTTCCCTCAGTGCTTTAGCCTGAAGAACCTGCAGTAACACCGTAGCATTTAAGGCAGAGGCAGCTTCTGCACTGGCCACATAAGCTTCGCCGGACAGACCAGACGAGTACCTACAGACCCGGGAGGGGGGCACGGTTTGCCCTGCCGGGTGGAGGCGGAATAAGGACAAAACTGCATCGCAACCGACCGCTCCACCGGGGGGACCCGGTTTGCCATCACTGTTACCCTCAGAATGCCCATGGTACTGCCTGAAGTAGCCCCCGCCTTACTGCCGCCATGACAAGAACTAGATTGAGGCAGAGGCAACGGAGCTCGGCCCCTTTTGAGGTAACAGATGGCCATCTTGGAGATGCGGGCCAAGCTCTTTCCGCAATGAGAACATGACTCATCCACGAACGCCACCTCAGCGTGCTTAATGCCCAGACACATGAGGCAGCGATCGTGACCATCACCCGATGCCAGGTAACGACCAGAAACGCACGGGTGATACGTTTTCTGTAGCAAGACGCAACATCGAGTTTGCCAGACGCAACGTCATCTTTAAAAATATGCACCCATGAATGCTCTTTTAGGGGAAAAGCTATTTTAGCGTGCTGAAGCGCAAAGGGGGAGATGGCCGCCTGCAACACAAACAGGGGGTAGTGCAGCCTGATGTGTGCAACCCACTCAACATGGGAAACCACCACCGCTGAAGCGCCATACCGCCAACGCCAATGAAACCAGTTTATGTTTGTGTGTGTGTGTGTGTGTGTGTGTGTGCACTTTTAATTTCTTAACAAGCGAGGCTGATGTACTGCAAGCAGAGAAATAAATGTATACCTCATTTCTGCTCGCCTCCAGCAGAAATTACGTTTTTAATTTGCATTCTGCATTCTTTGGAACATTTGCAGTGCATTTTCAGCAGATAGACGCAAATGCTTTTCTATGATGATGCTTTGAAAACCAAACCAAAGGGGAAGCAATCGAACTCTGGTTCAGACCAAGCAAAGGTGTGTGAAAGCACCCTTAAGATCATCATAAAACAACATTTGTAGCCTGTTTTACTTCTGCAGTATACCATCGTTTACTAATGTGACATATTGCAAAGATAAACTAAAAATATGGTTTCACTTAATTTTATGAATCAGGAATCACTGTAAGCACCTGTTTGTATTTCATAAAACAACATTTGTAGCCTGTTTTACTTCTGCAGTATACCACCGTTTACTAATGTGACATATTGCAAAGATAAACTAAAAATATGGTTTCACTTAATTTTATGAATCAGGAATCACTGTAAGCACCTGTTTGTATTTTTATCATTATTGATGATGTCAGTGCTTATATATATATCTCAAAGACTGTGAAGATATTTATTTACTTATGTGGATTCATGTTGATCGATTTCATGGTTTTGCTTATTTTAACGGTCAGTCATACAGCTTAGCAATCATTATACAAAAAAATATTTGTCCACAGCCATGAATCAAGCATTCCAGAGAGGCAAATGTCATAAACAGGTGACTCTTTACCCAGCGGCACTGCAAGTTCACTTGTCTCTACTTTAGATCAAGTTTTTAATCATGAGATCTCAGCTGCAGGGGAGGTCTGGAGGGCATGAAGAAACAATTTGACACACCACAGAAAGTTTCTTGCTCTCTTTAAATTTTGCAATGTCAAGCTAGTTTTTCAGTCTTTTGCTTTTACTTGCAAGACTGTTTTGAGTAAATAGGAGAAAGAGAAAATTTTGATTTCATGGAGCATTTCTGCTCTCAGCATCCCCTCTAGAATTCACTCACGGCAAAGCTCTGAGTTCAGCAACCTCGCCATAGATCTCTACTCATTACCCACTCTCCACCTCTTCTGCCCTGCTCCCCACCTCTCCATCTCCTGTCTGCCTCAAGCGCACCCTCTCCATCGCTCATGCTGGTTTGATGCTTCCATGTCTTACATTTTTTGATATTGCACTTTTTCATGTCCTCTGCACTCCGCCTGTCTTTTCTCGTACTGCATTTTTTATTTGCCAACCACTGAAACACACACACTTTTTTTACACTTTTTTTTCCTTTCCATAGATTATGTCCAGAGGAGGAACTTTGAGCTGAAACTTAGTCTCAAGTCCCTCCATTACAGACAGCGAGCTATATAATGTTACGAGACAACTTCTTTTTAGAATAGTATTCCATCTGAAAAACAAGTGAATCATGGAACAGTCATAATCTCTCGATGTTCTGTCAACTTCCTGCCTACATACCTGTAGCCTGTCATTAACGTCCACCGATGATCCACACTGTCTAATTCTGTATGGATTGACTAAGAGTGTCCACGCAGTCTAAGACTTATTACAAAACCAATTCTATTGACTCAGAGTTAATAAAAGGAAGATACAATTGTTTCCTTCTATGGATGTAACCAACATTGTGGGAAAATGCTTAACAAGATTTACAAGTATAAAGGACAATAAATCAGAAGGACAAAGTTTAACAAAATTATCTTGTTTATGACAGATAGGTTTCAACCAAAGGTAAAAACATTTGTTGCCTCATTGGTGTTTGCTGGATGTTCTCAACTTGCTTCTCAATGTTCTGAGGACAAAGCCGGTTTAAAACATTTATATCATCTTTATATACATCATGCATGCATTTAATTGATTTTATTTTTTTGCATACATATTTGGACTTGTCATATCTTATTTCACATTTCTCAATCCTGGTCTTGGAAGATCAACACTGCACATTTTGAATGTCAGCCGCACATATTTAGTTCATTCTAAATAGCTGATGAGTTGAGTCAGGTGTGTTTAATTGGGAAGACTGCAGTGTGAGGTCCTCCAAGATGAGGAAACACTGATCTAGAATACCAAGTGATCAACAATTTGGAAATTGTTTTAAGAAAAGCAATTTGTTCTATTACTATGATAACCATAGATGCATGGGTTCCCCCTAAAATATCACCCTGGTTAGAACTGTGAGGTGAGGATAGTTATGACACTTACTTCAACAGTACACAGCCACTGCCTGATGCGGGCGCTATCCAGAACACCTGTATCCTGGTCCTCCTGCGTGGGGTGCTTTCTGTCACTGCTGGAGGGCAGTTTGTCATAAACTGTGCGTCTTCCTCATCGATTATCTGCAGAGTGTACAAACCCATACCCGTCAACACAAATGTGTCCGATTCAAATATGGCAGCATTCTTGTTACCTTCTCTTCATGTAAGACAAAAAAAATTATAAAATACAAAACTTTGTAAAAATACTACAGAAGATTATCATCCATTTGTATCTGCCAAAATGAGTGTGCATGTATGTGTGTAGAGAGTTATCACCTGTAGTCTTAAGAGGTCAATGGCAATACCAACAATTCCCCTACAGACATCCTCCACCCAATAACCCAAACAGCAATAACAAAGGTGATGGATTTGATTTGACATGACATGGAGATCCACACACGGAGGTCAATGCACTTCATCTACAGCAAAACCCTATAGGTGCCAGCTCTTGCAGGACATTTTTTTTTAAATATAAAGTACCGCACTTGAAATATATATATATATATATTTTTATCAATTTTTTATTATTTTGACATTGTTTAATATACAGAACAACACAGACAAACAATCAGCTTTGCAACAGAAAAAACAAACAAAAAACAAAGACCATGATAAATGAAATATAAGTATATCTATAAAAAATATATAATAATAATAATAATAATAATTTGGTTAAAACTAATCAGTTAAACTGAAGGGTGAATGGCCGAAATATACGAAACAATATTTAAAACCTAATATACTCCAAAATATACAAAGTACAAAGACTATACATGTACAAAAGATTATGTAAAAAGAAATATATATCCATACACTCACTTGAAATATTTAAACTCTTTATTGTGTCCGAGAAATGCACACAAGTATTGTTTTGCTCCTGAATGAATAAAATTTTTGTTTTTGCAATGAATCAGTTAGGTAAATTATTCTACAGAGCCCATAAAGGGACATAGTGGTCGGGAAAAAAATAAACTTTATTCAACAATTTCTTCTCTTCCAATCAGCCTCCGCAGTCATTCACGAAAGTACCAAGGAGGTCGTCTGGGAACTCTTTGTCTGTCCTGTCACGGCTATGGAAGCCGTCTGGGAATCCTCATCCTGTCCTGTCAGGGTTATGGAGGTGGTTTGTGAACTTTTGTCTTGTCCCGACACAGCCAGGGAGGCTGCCCCTGAACGCTCAGTCTTGTCTATCAACCCCAATGCTCTGTCTGTGTTGTCTGTCTCTGCTCTCTCGTTGTTACCTGGTTCTGGTGGTCTTCTGCTCCGCCGTGGGGGTCTTCTGCTCCGCCGTGGTGGTCCTCTGCCCCGCCATGGTAGTCTACTGTCTGGTTCTGGTGGTCCTCTGCCCCGCCGTGGTAGTCTACTGTCTGGTTCTGGTGGTCCTCTGCTCCGCCGTGGTGGTCCTCTGCCCTGCTGTGGTGGTCTACTGTCTGGTTCTGGTGGTCCTCTGCGCTGCCGTGGTGGTCCTCTGCCCCACCGAGGTGGTCTACTGGTCTGCCGATCGGTGACCTACGCTAGCCCTAGGACTATTCTTGTGTTTTGCCCGCCATATACCTGTTTGCCATTGTTTGACCCTGCCTGTTTACCACGTCTCTCTATTAAAAGCTTGCAGATGGATCCACACGTCTCACGTCTCGTCAGCCCCGTTACAATGACGCTGCTAATATAGGAGCTGGGGGTTCTGACTTAGAACACGCATGCACTGTGCCTTGTTTACAAGAAGAGAAATGCACATGCATTTTTTTTTTTTCTACAGATAATATTATTATTTTGCCTATTCTAGTTGTGTAGTGAAAAATCTGATATTGTGACAGCCCTAGTCTTTATACAGTGCATTAGCCCATTATCGTACGTGACTTGTGTTATAAAGTTTTTCATAAATTTGATGACACTTTTATGCATTAAGGCTAGTGATGTGAGAAAGCAAAATTATATGTTCATACAGTCGACAGAAACATAAATCAGAAATGCATTCGATTTCAGTTCTGTTTTTTTATTGTCACTGTAATACATATTTTATTATTTTCATTAGATAATCGCCAATGTTCTAAAATAGAAGCAACTAAAGTAGGAGAATATACACACAAAACACATGTATCTAATTTAAGTGCTATGGCATTTGTGTAGATATTTAAATATGGCCATCTTTAAGCACGAGTCTGTTTGGATTTGTATGAAGTGGAAACAATTTATAATAACAGTCGATTTGTAACATTAACTATGCTGTAGAATTACTGTTCATTTTTAGATTGTTAATTTCATTATTTACTAATACATTTTAAAAGTGTATCTGTTCAGCACTATTTTACCTGGAGTGTTATGTTTGTTTTCATTTCAGTATTCATTTTAAAAACTACCTGTTGATTAACCAGTTTTAGAGCATTTCAAGGATGTAAAATCTGGAGCACAGTCCTAGTTATCATTATCGGTAAAATCCACTATTGGTCAACCTCTACACCTAAACTAAATTTACCATGTCATAAAGTCAAATTATCAGAGACATAACCTTAGCACACAGTCATAAGAGTTCTATTACATTTCTTTTCAATTACTTTGGAGAGTTGGCTTGGCAGAGATCTTAACATTAGCTGTGTGTGGAAAAGGCTGAACGCATATGTGTGTACGTATGTGCTTTTGTCTCTATAACTCCTCACGAGCATCCTGTTGGATATTCAACTCTGAAAATGTGACCTTTGTCCTCGACTGCCCTGACCTCCACCATTTGGGTGACTGATGGCGAGCAAGCTGTCACAGCTGAAACAATGAAATGTATTGTCAAACAAGCCCAACCAGCCAGTCAAATGCTTTCAGAGCAACAAAGCACGATGCCATTTATTTAATGTGGAGTTAAAAAGTCTGTGTGAAACTGAAGCAGCAACCACAATTACTTCAGTATTGTGATAGTTCTGAGTAAAATGGAATAGTGAGAAAAAAAGAGATAGGTAGTAACTAAAGAGTATATATATATATATTTGAAGAGTTTGGTTGCAAAATGCGATAAACGCCATTTTAAAAAAAAATTTAGTTTCCGGCAAAATCAGTATTGTATCTGGCTGTTTTAATTGAAATTGAAAAGTCAATTTTTTATTTTACGCAAAATGCGATATCCACCGAGTTATTCTGTCATATTTTCTCTCTTTTTTCCAAACTGCGACAAACGCCAGTCTCCCTTCTCTGCAGAATGCGATATATCCGCTCAACCAATCACAGCGCACCATTCCACGCAATACACCCGGCATCCTAGTTTTCCTCATCTATTTTGTACTTTGTGATCAACAAATAAACTTAGGGCTGCACGATAAATCGCATGTGATTGTCATGCGCATCTCGTGATTAATAGTAAATCTCCATCACATGCTTTCAGATGGAGCGGCATTTAATACACAGAGCCATAGATCACTGCAATATCGCATTCATAATCGCAGATGAATCGTATTCGATTATGAAGGCAATATTGCGTAGCTTGACAGTGTAAGTGTTTTTATTAATGCCATTAATGTTTTTGTTAATACAGCGTATAGCACTAGTCAACTAAATGAATGTAACAAGGCAAAGATAATCCGTGTATCATTCGATCATTTGTTTTTTGATTTAATATTGAAAGTAGAAAAATGAGAAAACGGCTCCTTTTTCGTATTTTTGTTTTTTTCCAAGACACGAAAAATGAGAATTCAGCTTAAATTTTAGTTTTTCGCTCTTTGGTGGAAAAATGAATAAACAGCTTGAATATTCGATTTCTACACGTGGGCGGGAATTAAACGCCCCTTTCTGCTGATTGGTCAGTCGAAGATCAAACGTCTCGGGTTACTTATGTAACCATGGTTCCCTGAGTAGGGAACGAGACACTGCGTCCTCTAGGGGTCGCTATGGGGAACGCCTCGTCGTGACTCGTATCTGAAGCATACATTGAAAAACACCAACTCGTTGGCCGGCGACAGCCATGACGTCACTACCGGTGCGACTACAGTATAAATCGGTGCCGGGAGCTACACATCATTCACTTCTTCGTCTGAAGCTTGCGTCCGCAGCATGGCAAGAAACCTAGAGGACGCAGTGTCTCGTTCCCTACTCAGGGAACCATGGTTACATAAGTAACCTGAGACGTTCCCTTTCATGGGAACTTCGAACTGCGTCCTCTAGGGGTCGCTATGGGGAACGGTATACCCACGCCGCCATGCTGAGGGGAGTGCAAGCCAGAACCATGGCGAGCACTAAGAACCAACTCTACCATATTGCTATGGGAGTTGCCCCTGGGACGTTGAGACGGCTGTCAGTGACGTTATTCCCTACGGCCAAAGGCCTAGCTACATACCCCAAACTACTTACCTGTTAGGGCCAGACTCCTGGGCCCGGGGTAGAGCTCAAGGCTTGGAATCAGAAACAGATTCCTTTAAGGGAATACGACCAAGAGCCTAGAATCATACTAGTCTTGGTCTGTCACACAGGGGCTACCGCACGTTTGTCTTGTGGTGAAGGAACTGTCTCAACAGATCCTTAGTAGCAATACCCTGCTAAGTAGGTATCCAGAGGATACATAGGGGGAGTGGTGCCCAAGGCAGAACCGGGGTTTTAAACCACTCAAAAAGAGCACGAAGTCTTGCGCGTAGCTCTTACCATACAGGATTTTTAGAAAAGTGGGCAAAGCATAACGTGCACACTTACCACTTATGTGGTTAAATCAGTTTATGTGTTTATGTAGGATGTTAGACCAGTGTATGTGTTTATGTAGAATGTTAGACTAGTTTAAGTGTTTATGTGGTTAATAAAACCTTACTTGTATCACACTTGACGTGGTTCATTCTTTGCTCATAACTGAGTCACTTAATCATGCAGATTTATGCTACAGTAAGGAAGTTATTTCCCTTAACCAGGAAATTAACGTTCTGAGACCTGGGGCCTCATTTATAAAACGTGGGTATGCACATATTTGATCTTAGAGTGTGCGTACACTAAAATCCACGGCAACGTTCATATTTATAAAAATGGTCTTTGACGTGGCAAAGTACTTACCGTCACGTCAGGGTCTGAGCAGGTGTACGCACTTTTTCTTGTGGCAAAGTCGGAGTGCTGCAGCTATTTGA